GTTTATAATTGAATTTTTTTTTCGTCTTTCTATCTTCTTTTTTTGCTATCAATTTCAATTACTATTTTGGGCTTTTTTGAAAATAAAAAAACGAAGCAATAACAATTTGATGGAATTTTTTTTGCAAAAAAATACTGAATATGATATTAGCACTTTCCAGAAAAATTTACGGAAGAAAAAAAACACGAAAGTTTCATCAATTATCTTTCTTTCTAAAGAAAAAAGAAAACAAGACAGAACATGAGAATTAAAAAATATTAAATAATATAATTCTATCAAACTTGGAAAGGATATTTTTGTTTTTTCCGGACCGGCTTTTACGCCAATTATAGACCATATTTATATGTATCATGAACCACTATAATATGTATTTAGTATAATTTAAAAAAAAAAATTAATGCTAGCGTACTAGCAATGGAACAATCGTATACATTCAAATTTTTATTTTTATTTGATAAAATTAAAAATGAAAAATAAATGGATGAATAAGAAGGATCACTGATCACTGAAATGTGATAGCTATTTACGGGAAATTTTGGATTTTATTCTCCAAAATTCTCACATAATTTATTCATTGAAATATCAAATTTTCAATATTTTACATTATTTCGGTACTTTAATAACAAACAACATTAACAGGTGACTATGACATACAGCAAAATTATTTTTTCATAATTTATTCATTGAATAGTTGTTGCAAAATGTAATAGATGAGTTAGAAATCTCGGAATTTTTGTTCAGAGAAAAAGAAAATACCATTTAACAAATTTAATTTATTCCGTAAAAGCATAAGAAATGAAAAGAGAAAAATTAGAATTAAACATTTCGTAGAAGAATAGTTGTTGCAAAAATTGCTGACGTAATTCGAATTAGCATTGATTAGCAGCAGCGTAAATGTGACTCTTAAGAAAAATATTAATTATTGAAAACATTATAGTAATAGAAACTATAAGAAAAGAATATATCTATAGATATTTTTTTTTCCCCCTTTTCTCTTAGAATATGTATAATTTTATTAACATAAATACTTCGTTTATTCACGTTTCACGTGCAACAAACGTGTAGTTTTTCGAGAATTGTGCATGTATTGCAACAATATATGTACATTGCAGAAATTCGATTATTTTGTTTCATAACAAATTTTACATGTAAAATTTGTTTTAAACAAGATAATTGAACTTTTAATTAAATATTACAATGATTTTTGAAAATGTAAAATTTTTTAAATGATACGACATTACTTTTCAACGATTATTTTATCTATTTCACGATTTTTTTCATCAAAAAAGTATTTTTGTGAGCTCAGCTTTTCTTAATCATTTCTCTGTTTGTTTGTTTTTTTTTTTATATCAATAAATCAATCAATATATCAATTGTTATTTTTTTTTATCTACCAAAAAAAAATCATCGTTTAATGTTAGCATATCGTTTTGTTTTTTTATTTTGTCTTACCAAAGAATATCATTGTTTGTATCAGAAAATAATAGTCAGCTTTTTTTTTTCTTTGTTTGCTATCTATTTGCAAAATATAAAATGTTAAGTACAAAGAGGATCAGAAACTTGAATTTATACCATTGTTTTTTTTTCAAATTTTATTGAAAAATATCATTTTTTCCGTCATCAAATTAACTTTGGGTTATTATGAACAAATTTCATTTGGGTACTTAATAATGATTAATAAAAATTAGTTACGGTAAATTATCTACAAGTTAAATAGTTGATTTGGCTTGGTTTAAGCTGTTTCTTATTTCTTTCAAATGAGTTAATAAAAATTAATTAATTAATATGAAATTTTCAAGTTAAATATTTGACATCATCAGCCCTTGTTTGAATAGCCCTTGTTTGAATTGTTACTTTCTTTTTTTTTTTTTGAGGAGTATGAAATTTAAATTTAGTAATGTGTAAGCAATCTCAATCATTTTGCACTTGAAGGTTTTTCCAAATGTTACTGAAAATTTTGCATATTGCCTATGTATTTCATGCTTAACGTTCCATTTGATGTTTTTAGGTGATACTTCTTTTTTGTTAAAATTTGATAATAAAATTATGCAAATTTTGTAATTTGTTCTCAACTCATACCATCAAAAATACGTGCTCAGCTGAGAATGCCTGAAATAATTTTAACACAAAATTAATCTAATTTTTTACATAAAATTCAAACTAACCGGATTTTATTGTAATCAATTTTAGTACTTTTATTTGTTATTTCTTCTTTTCAAGAAAATAAATAATACGACCGGAAGAGCAAAGAACTTTCAAATGTACCACGCTAACATTTGTCATTCGACAAAATCAGTCACAGCAGAAGTAATTTTGCATGTTCCTGCTCCCTTATCAAATATACTTTTTTGAATTAATTTAAAATTTTCTCTTCCAAATTAATTTTATTGTTCTTTTTTAATTTCTTAATATATTTTCATATCGTAATTATTGGTATTATATTTTTTGCATAATCAATGTTTGTAGTCATTTCTGACAACGTGTTTGTCCATTATCGTTATCATCATTTTCTTCTTTCTTTGATACATATCATGCTTGATTATTTATTAAAATATCTCATTAAGTAAATGACATCGCAATCATAACAGGACGGCTATCAAGGATAATTTTTCCTCATAGATCCGTGCTAATTAGGAAAATATTAATAATCTTCGCTCTATTTATTCGGCTTATTTTTTCATTAAAACATTTCAAAAGAATTATATTTTTCTTTGATTTGATCATATTTTAAAAACAATCATTTTTTCCTCTTTTTTAAAATCATAATTTGTTTTTTTTTTTTAAATTACGTTTTTTCTTTCGTGAAAAATGTCAATCAAAAGCATACAATTCAACTAATTATGGAAATTCTCTGACAATAGACTAACCTAGCGACTAATTGCTATCTGCTACTTTTTTTTTCCATATAAAACTTTTTCTTGTGAACAGAGAAAAGCAAAAATCTCCAAGAACAATGTTTTATTCAGGTTGATTGCACGTGAATTGCCTTTTGCACGTTCATGTAAACATTGTGGTGTGTCTTTTTTTTTTTCTTGTAAAGAAAGCATTTAAAACTTTATTTGAAGTTTATGCTGAGCATTAAGAAATTTTTAAAGGACATGTGACAGGGGACAAGTGTTAGGCTTTATTAAACGAGGAAAATTAATGTCATTTATGAATTTATGACATAAATTCATTGCCTTATTGTCTTTTTCTTTAATTTTACTTATTTTTTTTCGAATGTTCAAATAATTTGTAGCATGATCGGATATATTTCAATTGGAAATTTATGCCAAATCAGAAAGATTAAAGTATTTCTCATCGAAAGATTAATTTGTTATCAAATTTTCACCGACGTCACTATGATCGATTTCCTTTTTTTCATCGCACTAATCAATGACATTTAGACTTAAAAAATTTTTTTATTGTTATTTTTAATTCATTATTAATTATGAACTTGAACTTCAAAAATTTTATGCAGAATGCATTTATTATATCAGTGGATGATCTATTTGTGCAAATTTATTTATGATCGGATATATTCCAATTTTGATACATGTACTTAAGTGATTGGGTAAACAGAAGTGCGAAAAAATGTACTTTGTAATACTTTTTCAATTATCTTTTACATTAAAAAATTTTAAATTCAATTTTTTTCATTACACAGGTACTACATTTAGTACATCGCTTATTTCGCAGTAAATATTGGAATATTGAAATATTGAATGGCTAAATTTTTGTAATAGACTAAGTACCGAGAAT